GAACAGGGGAGGAGGCAGGGAGACGGGCACTAGGGTAAAAGGGAAGGGAGGGTTTATTGTAAATGAGAGGCCTGCACATCCTTGCACGTCAATGGCAAAAAAAAAAAAACTGCTAAAGGTGGGGAAAAAAAGAAAACACTGATAGGAACATAAAACTTTAAAACCTTAAAATCAGATTCTTGAAGTTATGCACAGATAAAAGGTATATTGAATTTTCTATCAAAGACTAGTTAGAACTGCCAACTTCCGTTGATCAAATCAACCACAACAACTGTAAACAAAGCCTTAGTTCAAAATACAGGCAATAATGATCTAAAAGCCTGTGATGAAATCGACTTTCTGTTCAATAGTGCTGAAAAGAATATTGAAAAGAAACTGAGAAAACCGGTAAATGAGTTACCAAGAGTCAGTAATTCATCACCAGGTTTTAAAACTAAAAGATAATCTATTCACTGAACCTGCCACCAACCATATATGGTCAGCTGCACGGCTTCCTGTAGGTGAAACATAAAACAAAACAATGTCATGGCAACTGTTGGGACGGCTGGAGGCCACCAGTTGCTGTTAGGAATTGCTGATGATCTGCAACCCCACGGTCACAACTGCTCGGTGTTTTCTTTACATGTTTCTGACACCACAACGAGCACAGCAAGGCAGCCTTTGTACCCTGCCCCCTACTGCATACCCGGGGATGGGCAAGATATTTTTGGGGTTGGTCCTGATCCATACAAGTGCAAAAAAAGTTTACAATTTTTTTTAGGTAAGCTGTAAAACTGTGCTCTCAAAACTCTCATTCAAGCTGCGACCCAAACATTAGAGAATGCTTAAAATAAATGGCGTCTTTTGACTCTTTACACACAAACTGCTGCTGTGTGATTACACACTAAGCACATGAATGGACAGAATAAAATAAGTCTACATGCCACAAAAAAATGTAACCTGTATAGACACGTTTCAATCCATAAACAATGAACTAGCAGCTAGATTCTATTTCTGTCACATGGTTTACATAAACAACAACATCCTCCTCCCCCAAATTAAGTCCCTTAAGGGGGATTTTTTTTTGTTAACACAAACATCTTTTGGTGTTCCAACCCCAAATCCTAGTTTAGATGACGGGACATGGTGGTGGGGAAAAAAAAAGTCTCATGTTTGTCTGGGAATCATCACAGACAAACTATAACACATCATTTCTTCTGCAAATGACCAGGTACTGCAGCCAAGAAGAACAATGTCTTTCAAATGCGATCCATTACTTTCCATCTTTTGCTCAAGTTGTCATGTTTGACCGTGTCTTGCTGAGGCATGAAGGCAAAACTCTACTTTGCTGAAATGATATATGGGATGACTTATAAGTTTCCTGCTCAGGACTAACTGGAGTAAAAATACAATGCAAAGTGCTAATCGTTAAGGACTGACTGAAAAGTCTGAGATTTAAGAGATTCAGGTTTCCGGAGTGTGCTATAAAGGGTTCACGATCCCTTACGTGCAAAAGTCTGAATTCCCCCACTTGATTTTTCAAAAGCTGCAGTGAATTACTGTAGTATTATAAACTAGTATGACAAACACACAGCCTGCCTGTTTATGCTCATGAAAACTATGGCCGTTTGCATCTGGCTTTGTAGAGAATTTACTACTCAAAAAACATAAAGTCTCCAAATAACCTCTGCCACCTTCAAAACACCAGATCAAAGCTCGATTTCAGTCCAGGCTGACTGTTTATTCCACTGAAATTGCACATCTTTACCCAGATGTCAAGTGCTGCATTTCGCTGGTGTAATACAGGGGAGTGAAGCTACGAGAAGTGCAGCAGTGATGAAGCACTCCCACAGCTGAGTTGTCAAATGTTAAAAATGGGATCGTCAGACCACAGGAGCTCCACCCTGGGAGTATGTGCTTGGAAGTTGGTTGAAGCCAATGACTTAAGAGTGCACTGGGGGAGGCCAGATGTAATCAGGCCTCTAAGTTGAGGGTGACCACCTCCACTCTCGTTGACTGGAGATGCCTGGCTGCCTCTCTATCAGCAGGACATCATCAAGAGAGATTATTGGGGCAACCTTTGTGACCCTATTGTGGCTTTAAGTTTCCCTTTGAAGGGTGGTTTGTATTAATGAGGAAACTAGTTCATGAAGTACCAGGACTGAATGTTCCTCGGTTTTTCCACTGTTTATTTTTTAAGAGTAATTTCAAGATTGAATGTAATTTTAGGGATTGTCGTAATTAAAGATTAATAGGTGGGTTGTTGTTTTTTTAAGCAAAACTTGCCTGACAAAGTACTCCGCATAAGCACTTCTCTTAATCATTTACCAAGTAACATTGCAAACTTATTAATAGGTGCATACTTTTAGTCAAATAATATATCAATATTAAAATAAGGTTATCCGAGTATTTCGAAATCTCTAAATCCCACCTGAGAGGTCCACCTCTCAGAGACTACTTCTCTGTGGAGATGCCCTTAGTGACAGTGGAGGCATTGATGTCTGAAACAGAGGTGTTACATCAAACCTTCGGTAAACATTAGTCTGACTTTCTCACAGTCCAGTTTGTGTACTGAGCTGACAGGCCAAAGTTGAACAGGAAGGTTCTTGTCTGTGTGTGGTCAATAAACCAAAAGTTTGTCAAACACAAAGTTGCTCCAAATGAGGGCTTTGCACAAGCTTACAGCCCAGTCTTCCCAGCACCATTTGTGACTGACCAAGTGGTCTTAGTTTACAACGTCTTAGAATGAAAACCAATTTGCATATTTATCACTTTAAACTCATCGCAAAACAATTATATATACCATTTATTTCATTTACTATAAGATCAGTGTTAGCCAAGCTATAAAGGTAAAACTTGTTAGTGAATTTAAAAATGAATTGATATTGTTTTTATTTAATTTATTACATCACTACAGTATTAATGACTAGATGAAAAACTGTCAAGTAGTTAAAGTCTGACTATGGTTTAAAAGACAACATAACACTGCAATTGCAGCTTTATTTGCTCAATTCATGGCGACAGTTAGAGAGCCTAAAGCTTGACTAGGCCATTTTTGTTTTAAATGCAGTAAATATTACCATGTTATCTGCTGGAATTGATTTATCAATATAATCTTATAGTTTAAAATCAGCATAACGGAGTTATTATAATGTACTACAGCAAGAGCATAAGGCCTAAATAAACATCTTTCCTGTGCAAACAGGCAATCTCTGACTTGTATTTAGAGCAACAGATGTTCAGGAAATCACAGACAGAGTATAGTAAAAGCTGATTATTAGCCGATTTACCCGGGACTCTGCAGCAGTGTAAGTCTGAGAAAATAATTTGTTTTTTAAAAACATAACACTAAAGAAAGGATTTATTAAAGTTCTTCACAGTGGATAATCATCTCCTTGCATATCTAATCATGAATCATCTTTAGCCACTGCAGAGTTAAACCTTAAGAGAGACACATAGTCTGCTCTTTTCATGTGAAACCAAGCTCATCAAAACATTTAAAAAAACCCAGTCGAGAAAAGACAAAAGTGTCCATCAACACGTAGATCTACCTGCCCCTCAGGGCAGATAATAGCCTCCCCCCCTCCAAAGCTTTACTCTGCTTTGAGCTGACTTCCCACGAACCGAAAGCTCTTTCAAAGCTGCATTTAATAAGCGCCCGGAAACAGTGATTACCCCTCCTAGTTCACCGGTGTGTCTAAATTAGAAACCTTCATTAGTTTATGACCCACCCCTGGAGACCATCCCTGCCCCCGTCCCACCAACAACCAAGGTGACCCAACCTCTGTGCCCTGGCTGTCATAAATCAAAGGCCGCAGCAAACTGCTGTGAAAAAGACGAAAGGTCAACAGACTTTGTTGACGTTCTCCAAGTATTTGTTTTTATGTAACAGCCAAAACAACAAAAAAAGACGGCATCCTATTTGACTCTGATTACCATTAGGGCTGCGACTATTGAACACCACCAACAGTTATAACAAAATGTCTCACTTTTTAAAATTTAAATTTAAAAAGTGCATCACGTTTATCAAATGATATTTATATCGCTTCAACACCATTTGCTACTCTAAAGGAGAAAAAAAAAAGTGCTAAATCTGTCACTTATCATCACTGGTTAGTATTTACACCAAAATTAAACTACATTTAAAAAAAATATCAGAACTTCAGGTGTGAAGAAGGTTAAAGTCTTAACAAAGCCACCACTCTCTCACCCCCATCTTTAAACTTCATGTCAGCCATTTGTCTATTTCGGGAAGGCTCACATGAGTCTCAACAGGCCCGTCGTCTGAATAAAGATCACTGTTTCGCTGCTGGGACAAAGGGGGAGGGCACAGTTTCTTTTGGCCCCCTCTTCTAGTGATCTCCACATGGCTGCCATTTAACTTCATTGACACAGAGAGGCACCATCACAGAGTCACAGCTCCATTCATACCAAAACAGAGCATGACTCCTGAAGGAGTGAGGCATCGAAATCTAGAGACTCACTGACTCAGAAGCCAGTTATTGTTACGCATAATCCTGCAGTACACTAATAAACAAATAGTATCTTGAAAAAAAAAAAACTTCAACCCTGGGTTCATTTATCTCTAAGGACAACAGCAAGCAACCAGAGTGAAATGTGAACCCCCAACTCTCTGCTTTCCTAGCTGGTGACCAACTCCCCACCCCCACTAGTCCATAGCTAGCGCGCACACACACACACACACACACATGCGCACACTCTTGCTCTGCTTCACTCTCTCTGCAACACATCTTGGTCAGACAGCCCCTGTTTATAAATAGGGGAGTGTCTTTTCCAGCAGCTCTGGCAAGCCTGCTTTTATTCCAGATCAAATATCTGCTCTTTGATCTGTGTGGAAGATGTCTCCTCGCGTTTTCCGTACTCAAACACAAACACAGTGTACTATACTCACTCTGGTTGTATAACATGCCAGTTGGAAAAACAGTTAAGTCTCTGCAAAGAAATGTGTTTCACATCCCGTTAACATCAAACTCTATGTGAGTTGAAAGGAAGAGGCCCTCAGGTATACGCTATATAAACAGGTATATATTATATCATCTATGAATAATTGGATAGTTTAGCATTTAAAAAAAAAAAAATTACCGACCAGTGAGATCAAATGACTGTTTTTATACACAGAAAGACTCTCGGTTAACACACCTGACTTGTGAACTTATGGCTTTTATACTGCCAATTTTATACACGTTATATTTTATTCTGCCTTTATCAGTATTTTAGGATAAAATACTCTAAAGAGCCACAAAGATCTCGAGTCTTTCAGAGTACTGTTTTGATTCCTCTATTCCCTGTCCATTATTTTTTTGGCCTCCACAAAATGGGCCAGATGTTCTCCAGATGTGCAACCTTAAAACATGTGGTAATGAAAGCTCTCTTTTTTTTTTGGGATCCAAGTAAGTTTGAAGCTATCATGTTTGTCCAGACTCTGCGTCAGAGAGTAACATTTCCTAGAACTGACAACATTTTGCCTTTGAGTAAAGATTGAGGACTTTGAGTGTCAAGCCTTTTTTTAAACAAGAGCTGCTGAAGAGTTCATAAACTTTAGAAGGCTTCACAATGAGCAGATTACATTAACATAAATTGTTGACAAGCACGCCACTTTTATGAATAATTCAACCCATCTTTGCCCAGAGCTACAGACAGTGGAAATAAAAAGGGTAACAAATGCACAAAAAAGTATTAAAGAACCAAAGCCCTCAAAACCCGAGAAGTAATCGATACATCCTGTGACAAGCCTAAAGGTCTCTACAGTACCTGCAAACAAGAAATCTACATTACTATGGATGATTAATGCGAAGAAGATCTACTGAGTAGCAGAGGAGCTTTGCAGAACTGTTCTTTGCTGTCTGGGGTAGCTACAGTGCTCCATTGTCTCTACTGAAACCTGAGACCAAGAAAAGGAGCACTAGATACAGCAATCATTGCTCAAAAGACTTCTCTTGTTTGCTGAGCCCACCAAATTTAATAACCTACAATTTAACTATTGCAATTGTCTCTTTCTGGACACAGTGGCAACTATTGTGTAACAGATTTGAAAATCATTGTCAGCATAATGTATGCTGAATAGAGATGTAGTATTGAGAGCTGGGCCCTGTACTACGAAGCGAGTTCAGCATACCCAGGGTATCCTTCGTTATCCAGATTTACTCACCCTAACACTGGCGTTCGGATAAGTGGTCACACTAAGCTGGTTATTAACTCACTAAGTTAGCCCAGGACTTCCCAATCAAGGTACACGTGAGTTCACATGAAAGAGGTGGTGCTGGTAATGTCTGATCACATTGATTAGTGTACTAGTAGCTGATTTTACAAAGAAAGAGTAAACTTTAAAATGAGAAAAATATGAAGAGGTGTAAGTATTTATAAATGATGTAAGTATTTGTATCCACTTTAGTTAGAAAGCTATTATTAAAGTGTAGCCACTTGTCTGAGTTAACAGATAAAAATATCCCATTAAGATATTGGAGAATCTGATGAGCTGTTATCAACTATTCCCATCAAATTTGCATAAGACAGTTATAGTTTTCATTCTCTCAGCTACAATCTGTGTCTTTTAAGGATTTAAGAGTAAGTTTAAATACAACAACAGAATTCAAATATAGGCTTAGTCTATGTACAAATTTGAAATGAGGTTAGAAAGTGCAGTATAGGTGTCCTGTTTTAGGATCGTATATTACTGACTAACACTTATCAAAGAGTAAAATTGTTGCTGACAAATATGGGAATGAATCAAGATTTGTCACTGATGCTCATCAGCTAACACAAAGACTTTAGACACTACTGAAAAACTAGAGCCACCTACTCTACCCACAGAGGGATTGTTCAGGCAGGGTGATGCCAGTTTCTGAAGAACTGTCTGGTCAGTAGGTGGTGATTTCATACCTGCTGATCTCTAATCAGGAACCTAACCTGTTCCGGAGCAGGTTAGGGTTAAGGGTTAAACTTCAGAGCTAATCCAGAAGTTACCCAGATAAGATTAAATCCTGCTTTGTAGTACAGAGGTCTCTATAGAGACCTGTCACAAGACCAATTCTTTGGTAACTTTCATTGTCACAACAAAAAAAAAAAAAGTTTGAACCAGTGATTGTACTGCTTTATAAGCAGGCATATACATATTGTAAATATCAGTAAGATCATTCCAACAATATGTATGTATAAAATTGCAATCAAAGATTTTAAACACATTTTTTAGAACTTGCACAAATATAAAATGTTCTCATAAAATTAGACAAAATTTTCCATTTTGGGGATTTTCTGACATCTGATGTAATAATGTTAAATAAATGGTAAATGGCCTGTATTCGCTTTACTTAGCCCCTATGGACCCCAAAGCACTTTAGACTACATTCAGTCATCCACCCATTCACACACTGGTGATGGCAAGCTACATTGTAGCCACAGCAGCCCCGGGGCGCACTGACAGAGGCGAGACACTGGCGCCACCGGGCCCTCTGACCACCACCAGTAGGCAACGAGTGAAATGTCTTGCCCAAGGACACAACGACCGAGACTGTCTGAGTCAGGGCTCGAACCGGCAACCTTCCGATTACAAGACGAACTGCCAACTCTTGAGCCACGATCACCCTTAAGTATAAGTATAAAATAAGTATAAAAAGTTAAGATAGATGAATATCACCGATTTTTCAAAACATTTCAGGTTGCAAGCATTCAGAGACTTTTACAAACTGTATGATGCACTTCATGGCAGCATACATACTTGAGGAAGTATCTCTGGCCAGAGGCAGTCTTGGCCATCTCCCACCCATCTGGTAGGGGCAAGTCATCAGGAATCTCATAAGAAGACTGACGAAGATGTTGAGGAGAGGCCCCTGTTGAGCCCATGCCAGACAGTGAGCCACCAGAAACAGCGCCTAACTGCAAGGAAGCAGGGGATGAGTGTGCACGGACATGGTGAGGGATGAGGACTCCGCCACTCCCAGCATCGGTGCTGGCCTGTGTTGGGGTTGAGAGACAACACAGTTAGTTTTCTTTGGGGAGTTTGAGTGAAAACCCTCACTTAAAAACATCAATTATCATGTAATAATTAAAAAAGGCCATATGCAAATGTAAAGACAAATCAAACATTTATGAAAGAATAAAAAAAACATGAGGCTTTGTTTGTTTCAAATACAAGTGCAATAATGGATTGAGGATGAAAAACAGAACACAGTCTTAATTTATTGACAGTGTGTACTAGTCTACATAATTTCTACCCATTTAATATTTGAGTCACTCCTTATAATTTGTAATCACTTTAAAGTGTATATAAATTCTATTCATGTGCATGTGAAGGCATGTTTTTGACTTATTCGGGTGTGGGAGGTATCCAGGGCTTGCCACCAACACGCATGCGCACTAATTACAAAAAGTCCTCAGAATTATGGGGAGCGACCGGGAACTTGGAAGAGCTGAAAATGGAAGAAGGGATCGGGGAGGGGCTGTGGGTGAATATAGGATAATTTAACCATCATATGATTTCCTGTCAGCAAATCAAGTTGTTTACATAAAAAAGTCGGATTGGAAATTTAAGATGATACGAACATGACGGTTATCCGTCTGCAAATAGCTATACATGAATTATTAACCAAACCATCCCTTATTATTTTTACATTGTCACTCATCTAATCACAATTTATTCTAAGCTAAGCAATATTCATCGGTTTTCTTGGTTACTTACGGCCAAAGACTGTAAGAGAACGTTTCCGCCGTTTAATAAAGCCCTCACGGCCTTTACTGTTTTAATGTTTGGTTTTTTTCTCTTTTGTTTTGTTTTTTTGCTGTGAAATGTGTTAAATGGAAATTAAATGCAGTTTGAGGGGGGAAAACAACCCATCAATGGAAATGCACACTCATTTAAGCAGGTCAATACAAGTCCGCCTGAATAAAGTTATTATATCTTAAAGACTTAAAAAAATAATAAGTGTGTTCAAAGATGACTGACCAATAAAACAATAACGCTGAAGGCTAAAAATGGCACCAGAGAAGGATGAAGTAACTATTAACTAAGTGCCAGTCACGTAGCTCCTGAAGGCCGAAACTCGACAAGATGGGCCCTGCTTTTTAGTTGTGATTTCTGAGTACGGGCACAGTAAAAACCAGGGCGGGCTTACTTGTCTGGAATGAGACTTTGGTTCTGGGGGTTTGAAGAAGGAGTCTGGAAGTTTCCTCATCCTCATGGGCACAGAGTGGGGCACGGTATTGACTTTCGGGTTCATCACAGCGTTAAAAAGCGCCTCTAGGTCAGTCTCAGAGTCGCCCCGTACATGGACGATTTGGTGTCCGGCAGGAGGGTTGTGCTGGCTCGGATCCATTGTCCCAAAACAGTCTTCGAACTTTATGTCCCAAAAAAGTTAGGCTTCGGAAGTTAAAAAATAAACGTGAGCCAATCCCAAACTTTTTTTCCACGCCGGGAGAAATCTGAAAATCTCGACGACACTCAGTAAAAGTTATTCGGAGTCATTCTAAACTTTACAAGTCGAGCACTTGATATTCTTCCAAAGTGTGTTAGCTGTCGAAATCTGCAATGAAAGACAGCCTTTTCCTGTTTTTTCCTGCTGGCATACTTGTTAACGTAACAAAGCGCATAAACTCCACATTGGAATTTATGCTCTCGTCCCCCCAAAAAACGCAGATGCAGCCACAAAAGACGAAAAAACACCACAAACGGTTGAGTGAAAGAGTCCAACTTTTTCTGAGTGTCGGGCCAAGTCCAAGCTGTGGTTGATATTCTTTTAAGCAAGGCTCATAGTGAGCGGTACAAATCTCCGCAGCTCACTTTCTAGAAAAAAAAAAAAGTTTAGCCCCAGTCGGATCTAAACTTTGGAGAGGACATCAAACTTTATGACGCCAGTGACGTAATCACCAATAGGGCGGGACTTACGGCTCCGATTGGGACAAGAGCGTTTAAAGGTAGACTGGAAAAGCCAAGCCCTTTATTAGCGGGCACCTTCCCCAATTAAACATAGTGTGAAATTAAAAGTAAAAGATTATGTACCAAAAGATACATTTTTGATAAGACATGTCACAACTTTTTAACGTTAACATCTACTTATTTCGACAGCAAATGGAATTGTAATATCCTTTACAGTTTATGTAATCTTCGACCGGACAATCTGGGCAAGACCTTATGAGTTATGGTCTCCATTTATGGCCCATTTGCTAGCCCAAATCTGGATGCCTTGTAGAAAAAAACACTACTACATAGGAAGTTTCATTAAACTAACTTGCAGATGCACTGAAAATATATACACACAGATGAACACAGGGTAACCAAATTAAACTCAAATTTGATGCTATAAAGTGACATTTTCTTGTACAAGTTTGTACATGTTTTTTTTTTAAGTTACCAAAGTTTTTCTAGTGTAAAAACAAGAAAATAAAGGACCAAAAAGAAAACGAAAATGAAATTTATATTGAACTAAAGCTCATAAAAACTTACAATAAAGTGCATTTGCAAACGGAAAATCTGACTAAAGTAACACTGGCAGATCACATTTTTCTTTGCAGGATTTATTTATAACATTATGACAAAATATAGATAAACACTTTCCCAAGAATCTGAGCAAAGATAAGAAAAAAAAACTATCATCACTATGTGTAATAGTACAGTTTTGTCTCTCTCTCACTCTCTTTTTTTGTTACAGTGCTCATGAAAAGTAGACCCATGCAGTTCCCACAATTGTTATGCTAATGCAGCCCCTCTCCCATTGAGAAATCATTTTGTCAAGATCCACCCTCTTTGGATATAGAGGCTCTGTTTCAGCTTTTCCCATACATCCATGAATGCATCATTATGAAGATCTATTAAATATCCACAGACACTGTAAACCTCCTTAACAGACTGAGAGTCACACTCAACCCACATGCTTTTGGACAGATAATACTTTTTAACAATGCTGCACCTTCAAAATCTTAGAAACATTTAACATCGCTGTAATCCACCATACTGGTAGGAATTCATGTTTGTCCGGCTAAACTTGGATGTGTCTAATAAATGATTAGTAAAATGCTGACAGTGAGAGAACTTTTAATATTTGTGAAATACTTGATTATTGTTTTAAAAGTTGCTCTAATTTGATGAATGAAGGAAACAGTCTTTGCACACATGCTGCCAGTCAAAAAAATGTCCATTGTTTCAATGAAAGTGGCCATTTTCACATCATTGTAACGCAGTCAGACACATTAAAGAGATGGACTGCAGTGTCCCGGCAGCGCCAAGAGGACCACCCACCACGCTGAGTTTGGTCACTTTTTGTAAGCCTTCCATCCTCCTCACTGCTCCCGATTGGATATTACTAGAGACGATTATATGGCCGCTATAAAGCAGAATCAACCTGTGATCGAAAGTGTAGCTGTATGAGTCCACTTTGTGTAAAGCGCTTTGCTCTTCTGTTTGGCTATTACAGATATGTTGACACACTGTTGCTACAGTCAAGTGAGTAGAAGGCTCGCACGCCCCCTGCAGTGTACAATCGGTATTTATCCCAATAAACAAACTATTGCAGTGTCTATCCCTTCCTTTCTGACTTCCTTTAAACATGAGCAAACCACGTACAACTATGTTATTGCCTACAATCTTTCAGCTTTATGCATAAATCTTAGCTATCACTCATTTTCTGAGCATTAAAACCATTGTTATCATTACAAATTTGATCTAAACACGTAAAACACAATTTCCAACCTTCCATCCATGTGCATATTGTCTTATTACAAAAGATATTCAGATTTTTTTTTAAAGTCAAGGTTTGTTTCGGTCATTTTTTGTTGCATGCAATATTGCTTTTCCAGACACTCATTCATTGCGTGTTAAATGGACTGTAACAAAAGAAGACAAAATACTTGACAGCTTAAGCTTCACAACAGACCAAAGCACAAGCTTGAACTTGCATCTGTGAAAATGTCTCCCCTTATTTTCAGCACTCTTGCCTTTTCTTGTTCAGTTTCTGGGTGTTGTGCTGGTTAAGGCTTAAAGCTCATTACACTCACCATTGTATAGCATAATGGCTGTGAACAATAATGGTGCCAGGCCAAACGGAACTGATTTCAGGGCAAACCTACAGCAGAATATTCAGAATTTCAGTGATTTATCTGAACACGAACACTTACTCTACATGATTGTGTTTATTTGTGTGCATGCTTATGTTGTTGTTTTTTTCCTTTTTTATTGGGGCAGTCTAAGTATTATTACTAGACAGTTTCTTGTTAATAGGTAGGACTCAAATATGTTAAATATCAGCATCAGTTCAGATAAAAGTAGTTTTCTTCTCTTTATAATCGTCTCATGCACACTGGGTAGAAATAACACTGACGCACATTGTCAATTAACCACATTGGACAGTTTGTATGTTTCACTGGAGAATCTCTTCAAATGTAACGAGTCAAAGTGCATCTGCTGTTGTGGGCATAATCATATGCTAAAAATGAATACATTGTTTCCCTCTGTTGCTGTTCTCAGTTTTGGTGTAAGCTAACAAGGAGGTGATGCACGACTCGATGTGGCAATGAGACACCATTGTCACATTACCGTTTATAGCTCCTTCTTGGAGCACCAAAGAAACCTGCAGTTAAGCTATAAAAAAAGTCCCATCATTGTTCAGATGAGCTTGGGCTTCCTTCAGCTCTTGGAACAAGTCCTAGCAGGCTGACAGAGGGACAAACCCAGACACGCCAGAGAAGGAGGGGCAGCTCACATCAATAATCCCTACAGCGTCTTCCCCCAATGAACCTATTGTTTGCCAAGGAAGACAGAGAAGTTTTTAATTAAATACACTTTAAACAACAACTAGTATCAAATAATAGCATGCTTTGTCTTTTGATGTTACTATAGATTGAGGGCAATATTAAATAAATTAAGCCTTAAAGCAAAAATAAAATTCAGCATAGGTGCAATCTGAAGAGAAACCTGCAGAAACCTCGCTGTAGAGGCTCGGCTTGTTAAGCCAGTAGGTTGAGTCCAGTAGCCATAATCATCTTTTCCACAGCCATAAAAGAAAGACAAACACACCTTCAACGCTGCAAAACTTTTCATAAACCATTTCCAGGCCTCGGTCAATTCACTGATTGTAACACTGCCAAACACAGAGTTTATCAGCAAACTGTCAACAACATTTATTCAGTTCACTGCTGAACTGCTGCAAAACAGTCCACCAAGTCATAGTGTTACTATGCAAAATAAATACAGAATGGTACACCTTTAAACATTTAACATATACAATCTGATAGTGTTTGTATATTTTGCAGTCAGGGCTGGTCATGTATTGATTGAAACAAGAGCATCTTTGCATTTTGTAACATAAAAACAGATTAAAGCCTTTCTCATTCAAATAGGCACTTCAGACTTCGATTGCTTGATAGTCAGTAGCTTAAGTGTGCTCTAAGGCTGCTGATATGTCTTTTTTTGTCTTTGCAATTCAAGGCGGTTTATATTTCAGATCCTTAGTTACTTAAAAAGACACAATTCCTTGTTTTGTAATAAGTGCTTGTTTCAACAACATGCTTCAGCATAAAGTGCACCGACGAGGGCTCAAGACTGCTGTGGCGAACACAAGCTTCAAGTCAGGACTTCTGGTGGTATCGAGAGTGATTGTTAGCCGAGGATCCACAGTGTTTGTTATGGTTTGATGCTTTCACTTCTCTTGTCTGAAAATGGAGACAGAAGTTAAGAAATGAATTATCTTCAACAAAGTCACCCTTTCTGTTGAGGAAAGAAATAAATCCCTGCTAAACACTTACATAGGGTGCATCACTAAGTACAAGACCATGCATGCTAGTATTGCCCCCAACACGCTCCTGCACACCTGCAAATAGTAACAGGTTGGCGTGGTTACGCTGCACCGACATCATGTTAATACTCTTCTGTTATACACAGGTCAGAAAAATTCTGGCCTGATTTTAACGGCCTTCACAAAGTGCTTACATTGAAGCTGGTGGTTGAGTCGATCCAGACAAAGCAGAATTTTCTTCTCCTCCAAGGAAATGCTGGTGAGCTCCTGCTGTTGGCTGTACTGGTCTACTGTTCCAGATCTCTGTGTTTGGACTGTCTCCATGGCAGCCACTATACCCTTTTCTTCCAGATGGCCTTTAGCATGCACTTCAGTGAGGTGTAACTGGGCTGCACTCTCAAAATCTGAGATTACATTAAAGGCAGACACTCTCACCTTATTAATGCATGATGCAGCTGTCCTATCAGATTTCTAAATTCCTATATCCCTGTTTTTTAAGTTACATTATATATATTTCCTAAAACTAGAAAACAAAAAAGAAAATGTTAAGAAAGCTCTTATAAAGCATAAGACAGGACAGAAGAGTAAAAAATTTTTTTAAACTAATACATTCAACATTTGCTTGAATTATGAAATAAATGTAAACACAAACAGAGAATATAATACCTTCATTTGGAAAGGCTGAGTTGTAAGTGCTTGGTAATGTTCTGAGCAGCTTTGCGGTTTGCTTTGTTTGCTGCAAAAAACAACACACACTCACAACACATGAACTGTCACTAAGTCAACATCAGTTATTAGCTTTTTACTAACTGCTCGTTGTTATTGTTCCCTTTGTCTGGGAAGCTTAAGACAAATATTTCTATTCTATTTTATTCTGTTAGTCTGACCTACAATTAACCTTAATTTTTATGCAGGCCAGAGATGAATTAAGTCTTATTTTATTTGTGATGACAAAAAAAATGTATCGTTAACTCATGTCTATCCCTAACGCTTGTCTTTGGCACCATTAATTATTAAATTAACACTTTGGACAGCATAAAAGGAACAGCAAAACAAGTTCAAACACA